GTAGCGCCAGTGGGCGAGAGCAGTACTGGGCAGGGTGACCTCCCGGGAAGTCCTCGTGTCGTACCCATTTCTGCCTGCTCCCGTGCCCGGGAGGGGGCAGTGGGAAAAAGAAAGGAGGATTCTTCTCCGAACCGCCCGGGCGGCGATGTCGCGCCGCTCTGCGGAGGGCCGCTCTCTGCATAGGACGCCACGGAGCGCGACTACGTATGGGCGTCCATTCCGCCCCCAGCGAGATGGCGAGCCTCTTGCGGGCACGTCCGCGGATGTGACTATAAAGAGGGGAGCTGCCTCGGGGGAGGAGTGGGAAGCGGACCGCGGACAGGACTGCACGTGGTACGATCATACCTTGGCTACTACGCCGGATCCCATCAGAACTCCGCAGCGTAGCGCCAGTGGGCGAGAGCAGTACTGGGCAGGGTGACCTCCCGGGAAGTCCTCGTGTCGTACCCATTTCTGCCTGCTCCCGTGCCCGGGAGGGGGCAGTGGGAAAAAGAAAGGAGGATTCTTCTCCGAACCGCCCGGGCGGCGATGTCGCGCCGCTCTGCGGAGGGCCGCTCTCTGCATAGGACGCCACGGAGCGCGACTACGTATGGGCGTCCATTCCGCCCCAGCGAGATGGCGAGCCTCTTGCGGGCACGACGCGGATGTGACTATAAAGAGGGGAGCTGCATCGGGGGAGGAGTGGGAAGCGGACCGCGGACAGGACTGCACGTGGTACGATCATACCTTGGCTACTACGCCGGATCCCATCAGAACTCCGCAGCTAAGCGCCAGTGGGCGAGAGCAGTACTGGGCAGGGTGACCTCCCGGGAAGTCCTCGTGTCGTACCCATTTCTGCCTGCTCCCGTGCCGGGAGGGGGCAGTGGGAAAAAGAAAGGAGGATTCTTCTCCGAACCGCCCGGGCGGCGATGTCGCGCCGCTCTGCGGAGGGCCGCTCTCTGCATAGGACGCCACGGAGCGCGACTACGTATGGGCGTCCATTCCGCCCCCAGCGAGATGGCGAGCCTCTTGCGGGCACGACGCGGATGTGACTATAAAGAGGGGAGCTGCCTCGGGGGAGGAGTGGGAAGCGGACCGCGGACAGGACTGCACGTGGTACGATCATACCTTGGCTACTACGCCGGATCCCATCAGAACTCCGCAGCGTAGCGCCAGTGGGCGAGAGCAAGTACTGGGCAGGGTGACCTCCCGGGAAGTCCTCGTGTCGTACCCATTTCTGCCTGCTCCCGTGCCCGGGAGGGGCAGTGGGAAAAAGAAAGGAGGATTCTTCTCCGAACCGCCCGGGCGGCGATGTCGCGCCGCTCTGCGGAGGGCCGCTCTCTGCATAGGACGCCACGGAGCGCGACTACGTATGGGCGTCCATTCCGCCCCCAGCGAGATGGCGAGCCTCTTGCGGGCACGACCGCGGATGTGACTATAAAGAGGGGAGCTGCCTCGGGGGAGGAGTGGGAAGCGGACCGCGGACAGGACTGCACGTGGTACGATCATACCTTGGCTACTACGCCGGATCCCATCAGAACTCCGCAGCGTAGCGCCAGTGGGCGAGAGCAGTACTGGGCAGGGTGACCTCCCGGGAAGTCCTCGTGTCGTACCCATTTCTGCCTGCTCCCGTGCCCGGGAGGGGGCAGTGGGAAAAAGAAAGGAGGATTCTTCTCCGAACCGCCCGGGCGGCGATGTCGCGCCGCTCTGCGGAGGGCCGCTCTCTGCATAGGACGCCACGGAGCGCGACTACGTATGGGCGTCCATTCCGCCCCAGCGAGATGGCGAGCCTCTTGCGGGCACGACGCGGATGTGACTATAAAGAGGGGAGCTGCCTCGGGGGAGGAGTGGGAAGCGGACCGCGGACAGGACTGCACGTGGTACGATCATACCTTGGCTACTACGCCGGATCCCATCAGAACTCCGCAGCGTAGCGCCAGTGGGCGAGAGCAGTACTGGGCAGGGTGACCTCCCGGGAAGTCCTCGTGTCGTACCCATTTCTGCCTGCTCCCGTGCCCGGGAGGGGCAGTGGGAAAAAGAAAGGAGGATTCTTCTCCGAACCGCCCGGGCGGCGATGTCGCGCCGCTCTGCGGAGGGCCGCTCTCTGCATAGGACGCCACGGAGCGCGACTACGTATGGGCGTCCATTCCGCCCCCAGCGAGATGGCGAGCCTCTTGCGGGCACGACCGCGGATGTGACTATAAAGAGGGGGAGCTGCCTCGGGGGAGGAGTGGGAAGCGGACCGCGGACAGGACTGCACGTGGTACGATCATACCTTGGCTACTACGCCGGATCCCATCAGAACTCCGCAGCTAAGCGCCAGTGGGCGAGAGCAGTACTGGGCAGGGTGACCTCCCGGGAAGTCCTCGTGTCGTACCCATTTCTGCCTGCTCCCGTGCCCGGGAGGGGCAGTGGGAAAAAGAAAGGAGGATTCTTCTCCGAACCGCCCGGGCGGCGATGTCGCGCCGCTCTGCGGAGGGCCGCTCTCTGCATAGGACGCCACGGAGCGCGACTACGTATGGGCGTCCATTCCGCCCCAGCGAGATGGCGAGCCTCTTGCGGGCACGACCGCGGATGTGACTATAAAGAGGGGAGCTGCCTCGGGGGAGGAGTGGGAAGCGGACCGCGGACAGGACTGCACGTGGTACGATCATACCTTGGCTACTACGCCGGATCCCATCAGAACTCCGCAGCGTAGCGCCAGTGGGCGAGAGCAGTACTGGGCAGGGTGACCTCCCGGGAAGTCCTCGTGTCGTACCCATTTCTGCCTGCTCCCGTGCCCGGGAGGGGGCAGTGGGAAAAAGAAAGGAGGATTCTTCTCCGAACCGCCCGGGCGGCGATGTCGCGCCGCTCTGCGGGAGGGCCGCTCTCTGCATAGGACGCCACGGAGCGCGACTACGTATGGGCGTCCATTCCGCCCCAGCGAGATGGCGAGCCTCTTGCGGGCACGACCGCGGATGTGACTATAAAGAGGGGAGCTGCCTCGGGGGAGGAGTGGGAAGCGGACCGCGGACAGGACTGCACGTGGTACGATCATACCTTGGCTACTACGCCGGATCCCATCAGAACTCCGCAGCTAAGCGCCAGTGGGCGAGAGCAGTTATTTTATTAATAACAAAGAGAGTTACAAGTCATATAGCCAATATGAAACCGAAGTTGGAAATTTCGGCATGAATGTTACGCTATACGACCACAGTAATGTTTTTGGAAGTTAGGAAGAGAAGGGAAAGAAGAGAAGAGAAAGTAGAGAGGAAAAGAAGAGAAGGGAAGGTAGAAAGAGAGGGAAAGAAAGAGAAGGATAGAAGAAGTAGGAGGATCAAGAAAGATAAGAGTAAGGGAAAAGAAAGGGGGAGGTGAGAGAGGTGGAAGAGAGGAGGGGTGTGACTGTAAGGAGGGAGGGGTCCAAGGGACACGACAAAGCAGCAACCCGCGCCTACAGCGCAGACACAGCGTTTCAAGCACAGCCTACTCTTGTTTTCATCTACACATAGCCATCAAACAGGTACTGCATATCGGCCACACTGTCAAAGCAGCCACTGATGTGATGTCCGCTCCAGCTGCCTGCGCCAAGCGGTACCGGTATCGGCATCCATGCATCGTCCGACTCTCCCAGCTGTCGCACTGCATGCTGTGTGATAATGTTCGCCTGCGCACGCTGCAGCGCCACTGAAACTCGCGTGGTGAGAGCGCACTCAAAGATCCGCGCCGATGCCTCCTCCCCACTACCCGCGTCCCGCCGCTGCGTCGCTATGCGCTGTGAGCAGAGCCCCAGAAAATCTCGCAGTGGCACGCTCAAGTGCCCGAAAGTCTCAGCAACGCACGCATAGAACATCGGCTCCGGCTGCACTCCTACCAAGGCCGGCCGCCAGTCCCTGATCTTCTCCTGCACCCGCCTCGTCGCCGCCACCCCCGCTGTGTGGATGCCGCTCGCCGAAACTGTGCGTTCCCACCTCCGCTGTGGATCCGCTATCGACACGTCTATAATAATCATGAGTGCCTTCTCAGCGTCGCGGCATGTGAGGTCGGGGATGCGTGCGGGTGCTCCTGCGCGGCCTGCGCGTCCGGCTGTGCTGTGCTGCAGTGTGGGCTGCTGCCTAGTCGTGTCCTGTGTCCCCCTCCTCCTTGTGCCATTGTCCCCCCTCATCCTCCTCTCTCACCCTCCCTTCCCTTTCCCTTGCCCTACCCCTCCCAACCCCCCTGCCTCTCCTATCCCCTCCCCAGACCCTCTCCATCTACCTGCCCCGCTCCTCCCGTCCTCCCCACTCCCTCGCCCCCCCCCGTCCCCCTGCTATCCCCCTCCCCGTGCCACTCTCTCGCCCTCCTGTGCCCCTGTCCCCTGGCGGGGATCAAGCTCCACACCCCCTCTGGCCCCTCTAGCTGCCTCTGGCCCGTCCCGTGCTCGGTCCCCTGCTATCTGACCCCCTCCCTCGACCATGACTATCTCCTCGATCTCCTCCCCCCCACCACCCTGTGGTCGGGCTGCCCCCCCTCTCCTGCGGTACCCTGAGTCCTTTCCCCCGAGCCCCATCCGCCCTTCCCCCTTCCTGAGCCCCCCGTCTCCCTCGCCCCAGGCGCCTCCCCTGGCCCTCCCTCAGCTGCGGCTGCTGCGGCTGTACCGTCCCACCGTGTGAAACGGGCTGTCCCTGTGGCCGTGGCCCCTGTCCAAGGACTCCCGCCTCTGTCCCCCGCGTCTGCGGCACCAGCCGTGCCTGCTGTCCCGACTGTCCCGGCAGTCCCCACACTCCCTGCTGTCCTGGTGCTCCCCCCCTCCCTCGTGTCCCTCCCCCCACCCTGCTGCCCCTCCCCCCTCCTTGCTGTCCCTCCCCCCACCCTGCTGTCCCTCCCCCCCTCCCTGCTGTCCCTCCCCCCTCCCTGCTGTCCCTCCCCCCTCCCTGCCGTCCCTCCTCCCCTCCCTGGGCCCTCTGTGCCCCCCGTCCTGTCCGAGTCCGTCCCTGTGCCAGCGTAGGCCCTCCCGCCTGTGCCCCCTCCCGCTGCTGCTGGGCTGTCAAGCGCCGTCGCACCTCCTCCAGGTGTGGGATGAGCGCCGTGTCCTCCACCCTGACCGCGAAACCCGCCTCGCGCGCGATGTCGCGAAGGACGTACTTCACGGCGTTGTGGACGGTCGTGGTGACGTGGTAGTGCTGACAGCGTACGACGTGGTGGGGCACCGACATGTCCTCGATCTCCCGTCCGCACGAGCAATGACCTGTAAGGGCTAACTGGGGGATAGACAGACCAAGGCGAAAACATGAAGCCACCTGCCACTGCGCCTCCGGGATGCGCAGTGGATCTGCATAAGGGACCGCCGTGAGCCACGCGCCTGCATCTGCGCCCTGAAGGGATGTCAAACGGGCAAGATGCAAAGGGTCAGTGTGACGTCCACGAACGGACTCTAATGCCGCCGCCTCTAGGTGCCGACTCACCTCAGAAAACAGACCGTCCGGCGCGCTCGAGATGCAAGAGGACAGGGGTGGCAGCAAGGCCCGGACTGCGGTGGAAGGTCTGCCAAAGCCGTCGCGATGTGGGGATCGATCCCTGCGGGGTCCATCCGCCGCGAGCGCCCGTCTGAAGGACTCACCGATCTGTGGGAGGGAGCAGAGGATGGGGGCGCACTGCGCCCAGGAGCAGAGGTAGCTCGCTGGCGCCGCGCGCGCCATGCGGCGGATGCCGAATCCGCCCAGCCTAATGGGCAGAAATGCCTGGTCCAAGGCCGCGCCGCGTATCTCTCCTCCTCCGCTCCAGGTGCCCGCGACGAATAGCCGCTGGAAGGCCTCGCCGAGGCCATCGTCCCAGCGCGCGAAGATGGAGCGCACCGCCTGTGTGGGCGGGACCGTGCGCGCTAGGTACTGAGGGCGCGTGCTGACGCATGCTGAGAGCAGGTGCGCAGCCACCTGGGGGTCACGCAACCTAGGCAGCCACGGCAGCACTCGGGCCATCCGCTCCAGGCGCTCCCTGAGTCTCGTGTGGACGAAATCCTCCGTGCCGACAGGCACCCCCGCAACCGTCAAACCCCGGCGCGCGACATCGAGGCCGAGGGCGGTGAAGCCTGCCAACTCCTCCGGTCGTGTGGACGCCGCTGGGTAGACCAGGCACTTGTGCGGCTGGACCGAGAGGCCCAGCTCGCCCAAGCGCCTCTGAATGGCAGTGAAGCTCTGCAACACCCTCTCTGGTGTGCCCAGGACGTACGTGTCATCCGCGTATGACCACAGCTGCACGTCCCCGTCCGCCAGCACTGGCTCCAGTGCCAGCCTCTGTGTCAGGGCAAAGAGAAATGGGCTCAGAGGGTCGCCCTGACGAGATCCTCGCTCTGAGCGGATGGTGGTGACTCCTCGCCCGGTCCGAAAGAACAGCGAGGATGGCGTGCCGTAGAAAAGGGCAACGAAAGGGATGAGGCAGCGAAACTCGGAGCTCGCTCGCAGTGCCTCGAACAAGCGATCGCGGTGATACGAGTTAAAGGCGTTCGCCACGTCGAGCTCGACGACCACCCAGTCCGGGTGGTCCGCCCTGCCGCGACGGACGCCCCTAACGACCAGCTCAGTACCGCAGGTCACCCCGACCCCGAACTGCTGTGATGGTAGAAGACTCGAGCCATCGGCTCGCGCAGCTGCAGGCATGCCGCCCGCTGGAGTAGGCGCGCAAGGACCTCGCCTATGGCTATCGGCCGAACGTCCATGTTCGGCTTGGAGAGCGCGACGAGGGTGGATGATGCCAGCATGGGAAGTGCGGCCGGGGCGCAGTCGCCCCGGAGCCACTGCTGGTAGACAGCAAGCAAGGTAGGGAGGGCCTTCGGGAAGGCCAAGAAGGTGTCGCGGAAGTGCTCGGCCACCCATCCCGAAGGTCCTCCCGAAGAGCCCCTCGGAGCGGTGAAAATGGCCCTGCGCAGATGCTCAATGCTCAGGACCAGGGCTGCATCCCGGAAGGAGGCCACCCATGCTGGGATGGGGCGCTCCGCGCAAGGGTGCTTCGCCCGTAGGCGGTGCACCGTCTGATCTCCGTCCGGGGCCGCCTCTGCCGACTCCAAGGCCGCACAAGCACGTGACGTCTCATTGCACGCTGCCAGGCGGAGGCAACGGGCAATGCGGCGCTCGTCAGGCGTCGGAGTCGCGGCGCGGGCGCGGCGTGTCGTGCATGCCGCGAGGGGTGTGCGGCGGTGGAGCGCCTCTGCTATGAGGGCGTCCCAATCTCCACCAAGGAAGCGCGCAATGCGCGCAGTGATGGCCGCCGTATGTGATCGTGCAGGTGGTGTAGCCGGCGTGAGGAGGAGGGTCGGGATGGCCAACAGCAGAAACGTCGGCCCGCCCGCCCTGGGGTGCTGGCTGATGCGCTGCAAGATCGCGCAGAGGACATCCACGTACCCCCGCGAACCCTCGGCGGGATACGCCGGAGCGGGCGAGCATGCATGCGTCTCGGTGAGAAATAATCCGTCCAATCGACCGCATCCAAGGACGACCACTGGGCGTCCGAGAATGTGACGACGGAGGCGCGTGGCTCGCTGAATGAGGGAGGGGAAGAGGTGGCATCCTGAAGGGCCTCAGCCCTGCGTAGAGCATCGGCGGCTGACAATGGGTGCATGGAGAGCAAGAGCGTGGCTGCTCACCAAGGTGCTCCGGCAGGTAGGACACGTGACCGCTAGTCCTCCTGTCGGCACCGCTGTGTCGTGCGGGGGGACTGGCATCGTGCTCTCCGAGCCGTCAGCGCCGACAACCGCCTCTTCGATGGGCCCCTGTCCGAGGTCGGTGGCCCAAGTGGGGGGCGGGCCGTGCGTCTGGGGCGGGCAAGGCAATGGCCGGGGGGGAGGCGCGACGGCGGGAATGCGCGGGCGTGGGTGAGGATGGTACGACCAGGGGGACAGTGACCAGGGCGGGGCATGCGTCCGGATGGCAGGCTAGCTCAGTGGCCTCGCCGGGGACGTAGGAGCTGGGGTGTGGGCAGCAGGAGCAGTGGACGATCTGGGCAGAGGGGGTGGTCGGGGGCCGCGTCGGAGTCATCGATCACCATGCGCTCCGGTGTGAGGGCGGTGGACGGGGGGGAAGGGGGGCATGGGAGATGTCTGGAGCAGGGTCCACGGTGCCCCCCCCACCCGACCGGACAAGCGGGCGCAGAGGGGGTGGCGGACGCGTCCCATATCCTGAGAAGGTCGGCAACTGCCGCCTCGTCTCCCCATCTGCCCCCTGCGACTGTCCGCCTGTGGGTAGGGGGAGCAGGGCAGGCTGGTTGGTCGTGGTGGGCGAACCACCGTGGGCCCTGACCTGGGTCGGAGGTTGTGGACCGGAGGGGGACAAAGAAGCGGGTGGTGGGGACCGACGCTGGGGGGGATATAGGCTTGCTTGCGAGAGGCTAACGACCCTCTTCCACCGCGGTTCGATTTCCATCGCGGATGGGGCATCGGCGGCGACTGTCTGGTGGGGGCCAGGGCGGGATGGGGGGTGACAGGGGAGTGGGCCTGGGTGGGGTGAGGGAGGGAGACCGTCCGAAGCTCGCCATCCTGGTTATGGGAGGGCAGTGGGTGGCGGCCGGGGGCAATGATGGGGTCGCCTGAGGGGTGGTGGATGGTAAGGGCTGCACGCGCCAGCAGAGGGTGGAGTCGTGTCCGGCTGCTCCGAGCGCCGGGCTGCCCCGGGTGTCCCCTGCCCTTGCCCTTCTTCCGGCGACCTGTGTGGGGTTGGGCAAACTGTCCAATCAGCGGCTGCCGTGTGACCGCCCCCTGCTGTGGGTGAGGAGTGTGAGAATGGGGCAGCTGGGAGGGTGAGGGGGTGTGGCCGCCGATGGCCGCTTGCCGCGATGGGCTAGCCTGCGCATGGATGGCGGCCTGCCCTGGGGCGGGTGCAGATGGGGACAGGGGGAAAGAGAGGGGTGGTGGCGGTGGTGGAATCGGCAGCGCCATCCGTGAGGCCCCGCCCTCCCCCGACACCTTCCCCGTCCCCTTCCCCCTGGGCGTCTGCCGACATCGCTGCCTGTGCGGAGCGACGGTAAGGGGGGATGTAGGGTTGGGAGGAGACATCATGCAGGTCCCCTACTCCTGTTTTGTCGACGTCCATCGCGGATGGGTGGCTCGCTGCGACCACCTGAATACTGACGGGCAAGGAGTGTGTGGGGCAGGAAGGGGGAGGGTGAGATGGGGGGGCCGCCCTCGCCTCGCCCCTGTTCGCGCTGATGGGCGGGCGGGAGTGGGGGGCAGGGCAAGAGAGGTGGTTGGGCAGTAGGGTAAGGGTTAAGCGTGGGTGGGACGCTCAATGGAGGGGGTGGGAAGGGTGGGTGCCCCAGCGCTGGGCTGGAGGGTGTGTGAGACGGAAGTGACAAGGGAGGGCCCAAGAGGGAGGCACTCCCGTGGTCGCCTGCCGTGCGGGACATGAAACCTGGGGGCTGCACGAAAGGGCGCGAGGGGAGTTCCGGCTGGATTGCCGGGGAAAGGGGGCGGGTGGGATGTGTGGGAGAGGGAGGGGGGGGCGGGGCGCGGGCAAGGTAGGGCCCACGGCCGGAAGGGAAGCAGAGTGGGCGCCGAGGGACCCCCGCCTGCCCGAAGCTTAGCTGTGGGGCTTGGGAAGTGGGATCAGCCGGGGTGAGACGGCGAGGGCCGAGAGGGAGTTGATTCGGGTTGCTCCCCCTTGCCGGGGGTGCACCCCGCTCACCGTTCCTATGGGAAGCGCCCATGTGGCCGACAGGGTGTGTGCCCTGTGCCGGGCGGGAGGCACCTGGGGTGGAACAGGGTTGGGGGGACTGACGAGGGGGGTTGGGCAAGAGCCGCCCCTCCTTGTGCTACCCAGGTCGAGGCGTCCGGCGCGACAGCCTGCGTGGGTGGGGAGGGGGAGGGAGCAACCTGCCCGGCTGTTGTTTGTGCTCCTGGCGCCGGCGCGAGGGCTGATGAGGGAGAGCATGGAAGGGTTGAGTCGACCAAGATATATCCGGCGAGCGGGCCATCATTGTCCGAGCCATCCTCGGCGGCCGCCTCGTGGGGCACACTCGGCTGTAAGGGGAGGGTGTGGGGGGAGAGGGAGTGGTGAGACTGCGTCCCGATCATTGGCTCGGGTGTACAGGGGTCCGCCAAAAACGCCAAGGCTCGGGCCGCCCCGCCCATAGCCCTGGGTTGTAGCCCACGGCGAGGGCCCTGCGCCGCTGGTGAAGCCCCTGCATGCATGGGATTGGGAGTAGGGGGGGAAGGGGGGGACGGGGGACCGCAAGGGAAGTAGGGGGAGGAGGGGAAGGAGGGGGGGAGGGGGGAGATGGGGGGGTGGGAGGGGATGAGACAGTCTCTTCCGGCCCAGGTGCTGCCCTGTGTCCGGCCTCCTTAGCCCTCGTCCCAGTTACTGCCTTACCTTCAGCCGCTCCGGCTGCTGTCTCTCTCACCACACCTCCTGCTGGAGCTGCCGCAGCTGCTGCCCTTCCTGCAGCGGCTCCCGCTGCCCTCTCCCGTGCAGCACCTCTTGCCGCTGCCCGTGTTGCTGCTGTTGCTGCCTTCCCTGCTGCCGCCCCAGCTGCCCTTCCTGTTGCTGCCATCCCCGCAGCTACCCCGGCGGTTGTCTCCCCCGCGGCACGCCCTGCTGATCCTGCTGCTGCCTTCCCTGCAGCCGCTTCCGCTACTGCCCCCGGTGCGGCACCCCCTGCTGCCCCTTTTTCCGCTGACACCACCGCAGCCGCCGCCGCCGCTGCCGCCGCCGCCGCTGTCGCGGCCCTGCTAGCCGCTGCCTGCGAAACAGCGGGACCCATTGCTACTTCCCTGCCGCTGCCCCCGCTGCTGCCTTCCCTGCCGCAGCACTTGCTGCTGGTTTCCCTGTGGCGCTCCCCCTGGCTGCCTTCCCCGCAGCGGCCCCTATCTCTGCCTCCTCCGCTGCTGCCGCAGCAGCTGCCAGACGTGCATACATCCCCCCCCGGTAATAGCCCGTGCGAGAGCGCGTACAACAGCTCCCTTTCCTGCCTCCTCCGCCGTAGGTAGCCTTGCCGCTGCTGCCGCCTCCGGCGGCTCTCCTATCCCTGCCGCACCAGCAGCCGCCCCTGCACGTGCTCCTGTTGCTGCTGCTGCCGCTGCTGCTGCTGCCGCCTCTGCCGTTGTCCCCGCCCCCGCCGCCTCAGCAGGGACTCCTTCGTCTGCTTCCCCGGCAGCCACCCTGGCCGCTGCAGCGGCCCAGCCATCACCGCCTCTGCGGCATCCCGAGCCCCGGTCGTGCGCCCCTCGCAAGATCGGCTGCTGCTGCCTCCTCTGCGGTGGCAGCTCCAGCTCCTGCCGCTGTCGCCGCCCGCACCGCCGCTGCTCCTGCCTCTGCCGCCTCTGCAGGGGCGCCTGCTGTTGCTGCTGTCCCCAAATCCGCCCCGGCTGCCCCTGTGGCCCCTGCTGCTGCTGCCTCTGCCGCATCCCGAGCCCGAGCCCGAGCCGATGCACCCTTGCATGATCCATTGCTGCCGCCTCCTCCACGGAGGCCCCAGCTGTTGCGCCGCTGCCCATGCTCCCGCTGCCACCGTCTCTGCTGCAGCCCCAGCTGCTGCTGCCGCCGCCGCGACCACCCCCCCGGCTGCTGCCAACTCTGGAGCGGCCCCACCCCCAGCGGCTGCTACCTCTGCAGGGTCTCCTCTGCCGCCCCCGTTGCAACCGGCCCAGGTGCCTGCGCCTCTGCCGGTGCTGGAGCTGCTGCCACTTCTGCAAAGGCCTTTGCGGCAGCCCCCACAGCCGCCCCTCCCACCACGGCTGTCGTTCCTCCCCCTGCGGCTACAGCCCGTGCTGCTGCCGCCTCTGCAGCCGCCTTTTCCACCTTCCCCCATGCAGCCTCTCCTGCCTCCGCCTCTGCCATAGCAGCTTCCGCTGGAGTACCCCCTGCGGTGACTCCTGCGGCAGCCTCCTTTGCCGCGGTCCTGATGGCTGCCACTGTTGCAACCGCCCCTGCAGTTGCCACACCTGCAGCCTCTCTGCTGCTGCCTCCGGCGCCGCACCACATGCGGCCATGGACTGCGCATAGGCCCGGGCCATACCCTCTAATGCTGCCTCTCTACCCCAGCCCGTGCCACCTCCCCCTCCGCCTCCGCTCCAGCTGCCGCTCCTGCCAACCCCACAGCTCCCGTCGCTGGCTCCCCTGCTGAGGACACGGCCTCGAGCCTGGCTGCACTAGGAGCGGGTGCTATGAGCTCAACTACGTCCTCATCCGAGTCCTCGGCGCCCTCCAAAACCCAGTCCGAGTCCTTCGCGTTGTCCCCATCCGAGTCCCCGGCCTCGTCCCACTCTGAGTCCTCACCAGCCCCCACCGTCTCTGCCGATCTTTCCCCCTCCGCCCTCTCCGTCACCCCCACTCTTCACCTCCCACACCCGCATCTCTGCTGCCACCTCTGCAGGA